GATGGGTGGGGGGGAGGATGGATGGATGGGTAGATGGGTGAATGGGTGGATGGATGGATGGATGGATGAATGATGGGTGGGTGGATGGATGGATGGGTAGAAGGGCGAATGGGTAGATGGATAGATGGATGAATGATGGGCGGGTGGATGGATGATGGGTAGATAGATGGATGGATGAATAATGAGTTGGTGGATGGATAGACAGATGGATGACGGGTGGGTGGGTGGATGGATGGATGGGTAGAAGGGTGAATGGGTAGATGGATGGATGGATGAATGACGGGTGGGTGGATGGATGGATGGGTGGATGATGGTTGGGTTAATGGATAGATGGACGATGGGTAGATGATGGGTGGGTGGATAGATGGATGGATGATGGGTGGGTGGATGAATAGACAGATGGATGAGAGGTGGGTGGGTGGATGGATGGATGGGTAGAAGGGTGAATTGGTAGATGGATGGATGAATGACGGGTGGGTGGACGGATGGATGGATGGGTAGATAGATGGATGGATGGATGGTGGGTGGATGGATGGATAGATGTCTGGGTAGATGGATGAATGACGAGCAGGTGAATGAGTGGATGGACAGATGATGAATGAATAAATGAACAAACGAACCACTGAGTTTGAAAATATCTTAGATAGAAATATAGGCTCACAATATTTGCTGGGAAACATTCAACAACCAAACACCTTCTTAAAATGTACCTCTTCTACTCAATTACCTCGGAAATGAAGCACTGTGAAAATAGATAGACTCTGAAGTCACACAACCCTAAGTACCTGGCTCTATGTGACCATGTGACCTTGTGCAAGTGATTTAGCTACGCTAAGTCAAAGTTTCTATAAAACTGGGCAATGTTAGGGTGCCACCTCTGAGGGAAAAGGCCAATGAAACAATATTCCAAGAACATCCATGGGTGGCAATCATTATTTTGGTGAATTTACTATGGACAGGGCCGACTCTCAGTCTAACCGTAATATACTTCATTTCATCAGTACACGGGGAGGGAAGCCATTTCCCAGATACAGACCCAGAAAGGCAGATAGATAAACTAGAATGCTAATTTATTAGTTTATCAGGGGAAATTATTTGGAGAATCAAAGTAACTAGCACATTTTCTCTCTGTTTGCAGCTATAATTGGGAAGTAAAACCACAATTAGAAAGTTGCTCAAGGTCAGGCAAAGAGACTTGGGCAACATCTTGCATGTAGTGATGGGACGGTCATTGGGAAACACTTGAAAGAAAGTCCTTGGTGGTCACTGACAAGATTTGTCTCTGTCTTCTTGAGTGAGTTTGTACTTCTTTACTTTTTTTTACTATATATTTGTGCTTTAGGGGGTATCTTGTTTTCCTTGCTCCCAATTTTTGAGGAAAAGGCTTATGACAGCCCCTGAAATATTAACGATAAAGAGAGACAGGGTCTCTCTCTGTTGCCCAGACTGGAGTGAAGTGGTGCGATCACAGCTCATTGGAGCCTTAAACTCCCGGGCTCAAGCTATCCTTCCACTCCAGCCTCCCAAATACCTGGGACTACAGGTATGTATCACTATGCCCAGCTAATTTTTTAGTTTTTTCTGTAGAGACAGGGTCTCACTGCATTGCCCAGACTGCCTAAGCTGGTCTCAAAACTGCTGGCTTCAGGTGATCCTCCTGCCTTGGCCTTCCCCATCAGTGTAGTCTGCACATCAGCTGAAGGGTCTCTCTGCCCCTCAAGATCTGGGTCAGATGGTTTAACTCCCCAATCTCGTAGCCTGTGAAAGTCCAAAGCCTATTCCAGATTTCAGTGAATCCTTGGGAGATTTGCGTTCTCATGGCTTCCTTTTCCTCCCTTGTGGTCTCTACTCAGCATTATGTCAATCCGGAGATGAATCATAGCTTCTTTAGCAGTTTCTACCAAAATAAAAAGCCAAAAAAAAGTCACTTGCACAAAACATTTATGAATAAACTTTTCTAAAGAACTCAGGAAGGCCAGATGCAGTGATTTACACCTGTAATCCCAGCACTTTGGGAGGCTGAGGTGGGAGGATTGCTTGAAGCTAAGGGTTTGAGACCAATCTGAGCAACCTGGGCAACATAGTGAGATGCTGTTTTTACCAGAAAAAAATTAAAATTAAAATTAACTGGGTGCAGTGGTGCATGCCTGTAGCCCCAGTTACTTGGGAGGCTGGAGCAGGAGGATTGGCTGAGCCCGGGAATATGAGTTTCTAGTGAGCTTTGAACTCACTCCAGCCTGAGCAACAGAAGCAAGACCCTGTCTCAAAAAAGAAAAAGAGAAAGAAATTAAGAACTGAGAAGTAAAGGGAGGTCACAGGAAGGATTCACATGGACATGATACAGCAAGATGTTTAAAATCCACACTAGACATTCCTATTCTTCAAAAGTTCCTTCAGACCACCTTGACACCAAGAGTTCTTGTCCTGACTCTTCTCACCAGTACCCATTGATCTTACTTCCTCCCTGAACTTCTTTCCCCTCTCCTCTCCCTCCTCGGTTCTCTCTCTCACCCTTCCCTCTCGTTGACTCATGCCGAAACGTTCCGCCCCCTCTCTGGAATCTCCTCCACAGCTGGAATCCTCAGATCTGAGGATTTCACTCTCTAACACTGACCAAAGGTGTTTTTCAAAGACTGTTCCTTTCTAAGATGAATTTGGGGGCCATGAATTTTGTTAAGAAGACAAGAGCATTCCTTGCCTGAGTATAGTGCCTGGGATATAGGTTCAACAGGTAATCTATCCACTCTTGTTCCTCTCTCTTTATGCAATACATTGTTGATCAACAATAATCACAACATGACTGTGTTGTTTCTACTCCTCTCCACATTCCTATGTGGGTTAAGAGGACATCCTCAAAGAAAATTATCTGGCAACCGTATTTTCCCCATAACTGTAGGCTTGCAAAGACTGTCTGATGCCAAATACTAGTTTCCTGATTTACTGGCCTTGTGATCTTGTGCAAATTGCTTAATCTCTCTGTTTTCAGTTTCTCAGTCTGTAAAAATGGGGTGGTAGATCAGCTCACAGACTTCTTGGGAGGATTAAATTCATTCATGTAAAATGCTTAGTACATAATAAGGGCGCAATAAATATTAGCTGCTACTTTTTTTTTAGTTTCTTTCTTCTGGAATAGTGTGATTTTATCAATCTAAACATCAGAGATTTAGTCTTTGCACTTTAATGAAGCCAACCTTGCGCTGGAGACTAGATTCTATCTTGGAGTGGCAAGGTCAGGGCTCTACTTGCTCGTAGCCTGGGCTGCAGAGGATAATCAGGTGTTAGCTCACCTGGGGCCTGCATTCAGAGACGGAGCGAGAAGTGGGGACATGATGAGAATATAATCCAACCCACAGTAGCCTAAACTGGGAGAGACACTAACTACCCTGTGTCTAGTTCATTTCCAGGCCAGAGAACTCAGAAACCTGGGGAGTCCCAGGGCTGGCTGGCAGAGGATAACCTCACCCAGCTCCCACTAGATCTGTCCTAGATCTGATGTGAATCTCTCAGAGACCCTTCCAATGTCCCTGGTTTCCCAAGACGATGGGAAGAACTGAAATACCACAGATCCTCCCAGAGATGACAAGGGCTGCCCCCTACAGTCTAGAGCCCTAGAATGGACAGACTCCTTGATCAAGTGGCCAGAGTGGTCCATCTGGCTCAGGTTGTTCTCATGGCCATGTTTGATTGCTGCATACCACCTGGCCCCATAACCCACTCATCCTCTGGAGTCTCCACCTCTCATAAGATCAAGGTGTTTGGACTGTTTGTTGTAGCCTCTGGAAAAATTAAGAATGGAGTGGGAGAGCCAGGCTTGGGTTGGGTGAACTCAGTATCTCCTAAGGTGGCCCTAGGTGAGGGGGAGGAAGAAGGAAATGGGCTGCTGGGCCGGATCCACGGGACACATATTGAAGGGCAAGACTAGGTGTGTCTTTCTATTTGCAGAAGTCAGAGTTGTTCCGGCCTAGACACGAGGAGGCTGGGCCATGCTGGAGGTTGAGGGTAGCAGGGAAGGAGATTATAGCCCACCTAAACACTACCAAAAGAGCATATAGCTACGCTAAATCATTTGGAATCCAGTCCCTCCTCCCTACATGAGTATATTATCCATGTGGTGTTTTAAGCTCTCCCTGCAGACCTGCGTCTCCCTTTCATGTCTTTGGGTTCCTGATTATCCACGCTGCTGTAGCTATGCTGGGTTGTGGGTAGAGGAGCAGGAAGCCTGTGTGCTTTGAGTCTCCATCCCTGGGGTTGACCATGGAACAGGTCATGCTCCGTGGTACATTTTGGCCCCTGCACCATCCATCACCCTGGTTCTCTTTGCAGAAGTATGTACCGAAACAGGAAGCGAGGCCACCTGGGAAGTGGAAGTCTCAGCCCAGCCCAGGGGAGTGAGCCCACAGACAGAAGAGTGACTACTAAGAAGCAGAAAGGGACCTGGGCACTCTTCGGAAAAAGAGGACCCTGGTGACTCTGCCCCTTCCAGGGGGCTCAAGCCCCTGCCCAAGAGTCCAGTTTTATCATCTAGGGGGACATCTAGGGCTGGCAGGATCTTACCGTCTCTCCCTTGGCTCTGCGGTTTGAGGCAGGAGCCTTCCAGACAAGGCCCATGCACTAGGCCCACCAATGCAGGTGTACCAAGCAGGACTCTTCTCTAAGAGGCCTTTGGCTTGGAGAAGAGCCTGGACCTAGCGGCTCCCAAGCTTTTACTTCTCTCAAAGTGCTACCCAGCTGCCTATAGCACATGGGTCCCTGTTGCATTAAATCTATAAATAAAACTTCACACCCCGGTACTTATCCTAGGCAGAGTCCTAGGCGACGCACTCCTCACCGAAACCTGCCTTCCTGGAATGGGAGAATTTGGAAACGCTCCCTGAGCCAGTCCGGGGGAGCTTCCTTCCAGCTGGGTCTCCGCCCCTGCCCTGGTGGTGCGGGGTCCCCAGCGATCCGCGGGAGGTCCGGGCACGCCTGGTTGTGGGGAAATTCGGCCCCGTCAGGCGGCCGCGCTCACAGGAGCAGCGTGACCCGGCGGCCCCGGGGGTGCTGGCACCAGGAGCCGACACTCGCCGTGCGCTCCCCCGCGCCTGGCTTCCCTGGACTGTCGCCAGCCCTACTCCTGAGGTGGTGAGGGCGGGGCGGAACGCAGCCTCTTCTGGCCTGAGGAGGAGTCACTTGGGAGGTCACTAGGCTGCTGGGCTGGCTGCTGTCACAAGCGGGGCGTGCCCTGGCTCCGCTCGCCACTCTCCGGCGCGCACCCCGGCTCACGGCGCACACTGGCGCTCCCGGACTGAACCCTGAGCCGCCGCCGTGGCAGCCGAATTTGGGAGTATCTCCTTGTCACTGCAACCAGAAAGCCCCTCGATCCCCCATCAGAGAGGTTACATGAGCCCCGAGGTGACCTGCCCGTTGAGGGGCCACCGGCCTCGCTTCCACCCGAGGACCTGGGTTGAGCCCGTGGTGGCCTCGTCCCAGATGGCTGCCTCCCTGTACGACGCAGGGCTACTCCTCGTGGTGAAGGCGTCCTACGGAACCGGAGGCTCCTCCAACCACAGCGCCAGCCCGTCGCCCCGGGGGGCTCTAGAGGACCAACAGCAGAGAGCCATCTCCAATTTCTACATCATCTACAACCTCGTGGCGGGCCTGTCGCCCCTGCTGTTCGCCTACGGGCTGGGATGGCTCAGCGACCGCTACCACCGCAAGATCTCCATCTGCATGTCGCTGCTGGGCTTCCTGCTCTCCCGCCTCGGGCTGCTGCTCAAGGTGTTGCTGGACTGGCCAGTGGAGGTGCTGTACGGGGCGGCGGCGCTGAACGGGCTGTTCGGCGGCTTCTCCGCCTTCTGGTCCGGGGTCATGGCGCTGGGATCGCTGGGCTCCTCCGAGGGCCGCCGCTCCTTGCGCCTCATCCTTATTGACCTGATCCTGGGCTTGGCGGGGTTCTGCGGGAGCATGGCTTCCGGGCATCTCTTCAAGCAGATGGCTGGGCACTCTGGGCAGGGCCTGATACTGACGGCCTGCAGCGTGAGCTGTGCCTCGTTTGCTCTGCTCTACAGCCTTTTGGTGCTAAAGGTCCCTGAGTCGGTGGCCAAACCCAGCCAGGAGCTCCCCCCCGCGGATACCGTGTCTGGCACAGTAGGCACATACCGCACCCTGGATCCTGATCAGTTGGACAAACAGTGTGCAGTGGGTCACCCTCCATCTCCTGGAAAAGCAAAACCCCATAAAACCACCATTGCCCTGCTCTTTGTGGGTGCTATCATATATGACCTGGCGGTGGTGGGCACAGTGGACGTGATCCCTCTTTTTGTGCTGAGGGAGCCTCTCAGTTGGAACCAAGTGCAGGTGGGCTATGGTATGGCTTCAGGGTACACCATCTTCATCACCAGCTTCCTGGGTGTCCTGGTCTTCTCCCGCTGCTTCCGGGACACCACCATGATCATGATTGGGATGGTGTCCTTTGGGTCAGGAGCCCTCCTCTTGGCTTTTGTGAAAGAGACAAACATGTTCTATATTGGTGAGTCTGTCATTCTTGGGGAGGCAGGACATTGCTGACCCTCTGCATAATGGGGCTGACACCAGGGATGCCATGGTCTGGGTGGCCTAGCTCAGCACCAGGGATTGAACCTGCTACCCAGGAGGCACAAGGGACACAAGATTATATGCCCCTGAGTTTATCTGTAATATATTGTTAATTATCTGTATTGAGAATGAAATGTTACCAGAGTGGTGTTCATGGTTCTGGGCAGTCAAGGAGGTGTGGTCAGTGGTACCTGGAGTCAGTAGGGGAGGATTCAGGATGGCAGTCAACAGAGGAGATGGAGTTGGGTTTCTTCCCCCACCCCCACCTTCCCATTTTAAAAGGATGGAATTTCAAAGGCCAAGCACAGAGGTCTGTAATTCCAGCACTTTGGGCTGGAGGTGGGAGAATCACTTGAGGCCAGGGGTTCAAGACCAGCCTAGCCATTATGGCAAAACCCCATCTCTACCAAAAATATAAAAATTAGCCAGGTGTGGTGGTGTACACCTGTAATCCTAGCTACTCAGGAGGCTGAGGCACAAGAATCACTTGAACCCAAGAGGCAGAGGTTGTAGTGAGCCGAGATTGTGCCACTGCACGCTAGCCTGGGTGATAGAGCGAGACTCTTTCTCAAAAACAAAACAAACAAACAAAAAAAGGTGGATGGGTGGAATTTCAAGTAATTCTACCGAAAAGATGCCTTAATTAAAATCATTTGGAGTCAAGCAAAGATTTTTTTTTAATGCGTAAAAATACTCCGTAAATGCCTTCCACAACCAATGTAATAAATTCCCCAAGGAAGTAGCATTAAGTTTCCATCTGAGGACACAGGTAGACAACTATAAGCAGAAAGCTCGAGATGAATGCTCCAATAGAACTTTCTAGAATGATGGAAATAGTTGCTATCCATTCTGTCCAATAAAGAAGCCACTGGCTCCATGTAGCTATTGAGCAGTTGAAATGTAGCTAGTGCAACTAAAGAACAGATTTTTAAATTTTATGTTATTTTATTTAATTTAATTTAAATAGTTATATGGGGCTAGTGGCTATCATATCAGAAAAACGACTTCAGACAGTTATCTGAGGCTGGCTCTTGACCCAGGCAGGTCACACATCTTAGAAACACCTAACAAAATGGCAAGCTAACCTCTGGTCAGTTCTCAATTAAACGGCATAGGACAGAGTATCCCCTTCCCCTTTTGCCCACCACCTCTCTCTCTCTGTTTCTCTTTGTGTTTTTGTTTCGTTTTGTTTTGTTTTGTTTTTGAGATGGAGTTTCACTCTTGTTGCCCAGGTTGGAGTACGATGGTGCAATCTCGGCTCAATGCAACTTCCACCTCCTGGGTTCAAGCGATTCCCCTGCCTCAGCCTCCTGAGTAGCTGGGATTACAGGCATGCACCACCATGCCTGGCTAATTTTGTATTTTTGGTAGAGACGGGGTTTCACCATATTGTTCAGGCTGGTCTCGAACTCCTGACCTCAGATGGTCCACCCGCCTCGGCCTCCCAGAGTGGTAGGATTACAGGCGTGAGCCACTGCGCCTGGCCGTCTGTCTGTATCTGTCTCTTTCTCGCATTCTCTCTCTCTCACACACGCGCGCGCGCACACACACACACACACACACTGCATCTGGATAATCAATAGAGCTTGAGAGCTATGCAGTGGGTGCGTTCATGGGACACATTGCTGAAGGCAATTTGCCAAAGCTCCTGGGACCATCTCTCAGAGATGTTCACTAATGTCAAGGACAGACACTTCTCTCCTGGAGAAACAAGGAAAGGGGCCTTGTGTCCCTTTGGTGGCACCAGTTCCACTTCCCTAGTGATCACTTAATTCCACCAGTAAAGATACATTTCACCATCTGTCACCATGTCGACTGTGCCCAGCCACCTTGTAGACTGATATGCGGCACACACAGCAGCATCAGAGCTCAGAGGGTCACAGACTAGTCAAGGGAGGGCGCTAGTGTGCCAGCAGAGAAATGACTTCTTCCAGGTCAAGCCACATTTGGATTGTGGGGAGATGGGGGTTCTAAGAGAGGCTTTTGCTAATTTCCTCCTTGGCCCAGGCTGGGCTACAGCAAGGAGTGTTCCTGTGTGATCTCTTTCAGCTCGAGCCGTCATGCTGTTTGCTCTCATCCCCGTCACAACCATCCGATCAGCTATGTCCAAACTCATAAAGGGCTCCTCTTATGGTGAGTAGTGAAAGGAATCTCTCTGGAAACTTCTGCCCGGGCTGTTTCAGAGCTGCGAAGCATGAGGCACAGACCTGTAGAAGGCACTTGAGGCAGTTCCAGAAGCATCTTTGAAGACACTGGAAACACTGGTTTCCATCCAGGGCACAGAGAGTGGAGACGGGGGTATGGGAGTAACTTAGAAAGTCAGTCACTGAAAAGCCACAAAGAAGGATTCTATCATCCACAGGCCTTGGGAAGATTCAACTAGATAGAGGCAGGATTCCTAGCGAACTGAGCCACACACAGACTGAGAAGGGGCCAGGTGCAGTGGCTCAATGCCTGTAATCCCAGTGCTTTGGGAGGTCGAGGTGAGAGGATCGCTAGAGGCTGGGAGGTCAAGACCAGCCTGGGCAACATAGTGAGACCCCATCTCTACAAAAAAGATTTTAAAATTAGCCAGGCACGGTGGCAAATGCCTGTAGTCCCAGCTACTCGGGAGGTTGAGGCAGGAGAATTGCCTGAGCCCAGGAGTTCAAGGCTGAAGTGAGCCAGGATTGTGGCACTGCACGCCAGCCTGGGCAACAGAGTGAGACTGTCTCTAAAAAGAGAGAGAGAGAGAGTAAGAAGGAAGGGTCCCCTAAGAGCTCTCCAGAGACTCAGCTAATGGAGAGTGAGGCAGGCACAGCAAGGCATTCCTGAGTAACCTCTGTCCCTTCCACAGGAAAGGTGTTTGTCATACTGCAGCTGTCCTTGGCTCTGACTGGCGTGGTGACATCGACCTTGTACAACAAGATCTATCAGCTCACCATGGACATATTTGTGGGCTCCTGCTTTGCTCTCTCCTCCTTTCTCTCCTTCCTGGCCATCATCCCAATTAGGTAGGATGGGAGCAGCGTCTGCTGCTTGGGCTGGGACCCTGATGCTTAGGTCAAGGAATCTTGGACCTTCTCAAGCCCACCATCACCGCATTATTTATTTTCAGCATTTATGCAGTGGGTCCTGAGTAGGCTCTCTCACAAAGAAAAAGTCCTCCTGTTTCCCACACTAAAAATCTGGCCATTTGGGAATTCCTCAAAATCACGAGTAAGAAACAGGGTCTTTAGGCACTGGCTCACTCTTTGGCAGTTTTGTAACGACTACTTATACGAGTCCCATATACTTCCTTATAATTAGAGGCTGTGATTGGAAACCTTCATGAACCATCAGACCTCTTTTGTTCAGCTGCCTTTAGGTGAAAGTCATCAGACCTCATTTCAGAGCACAGTTTCTTCCCCATGCCCTCACAGGGCTCTGTGCTCAGTGCCACTGAAATCTCCCGGCCACTGGACTGGACTGTATGAGCTCCAGACAGGGCCTTCCCTTGACTTCCCTGGGGGAATTGTCTCATTTGTAATATCAGAGCACTCAAGTGTTGGAGATAAGAGGCAGGAGGACGTCTGGTCCTATGGAGACCACTAGCCTAGGTCATCAACAAAATGGAAAGACAGCTTGGAATAGTTCTGTCTTCAACCAGCCCTGTCCCACAGAAATACAGAAGCAGCCACAAATGCAAGCCATATGTGTGATTTTCAGTTTCCTAGTAGCCACATTTTAAAGAGAAAAGTGACAGGTGAAATTAATGTTAATATTAATAACATATTTGACATGCAAAATATCATCTCCACATCTAATCCATTTACAAAATGTGTCAATGAGATATTTCACTTCTTTTTTACACTAACTCTTTGAAATCTAGTATGTATTTTATGCTTACGGTACATCTCGATTTGGACAAGTCACATTTCAATATTCAGTAACCACATGTGGGTTGAGGTTCCCATATGAGACAGCACTGTTCTCTTTAGACTGTTAGGCCCTTTTACCACTTCCTTTGAAGTGAGGTTCTCTCATGCTCCTACCACTGCTGCTACATGAGAAAGGAATACTGTGGGGAGATTTATATATACGTATATATATTCCTGTGGAGAGATATATATATATCCACAGAATAAATGTATCCACAGTAAGGCACAAGGATTTGATATAGATGTGCATTTTCAAGGGACCTGCCTAGTAGCACATGAGGACTCTACACATCAGTAATGGTGGTATAATAGGCAGCAGAGTAGAAAATAAAGGAAGGCAGGTTCAAGGGGACAGTGATAAAGCCCTTTTGGAATTCTCACATCATATCATATTGCAAATCTCAGCCTGAATGGAAAGTTGAGCTTCCTAGGACAGGAGCCATCAATCATTAGGGCTCTTTGCATTATTTCATAATTAAGAAAAATAAGATAGGAAGACCAAATAGCTGAGAGAATTTATGGATCAGCGGGCATGACCAGGTCTCATTCCTAAGGTGCAAACTGAGCCAGCTCTGTCTTCGAACTGTCCAACCCTAAGGACTTTTCATGTGTTCCTGTTTTCGTATGAGTCCTGGCTGAATGGGTTGGATTTTAGCTAGAGCTACCATGCAGTGCAAACTTCTCAAGAGTCCCAGCCTGCGGGCAAACGAGTAAACGATGAGTAGTTTTTGCCCGCTTGAAAATGATCCAGTCCAATTTTATGGGCAGTTGGTTAATGTAGTCTCTTTAACCTAAACAAAACCCAAAAATCAACGAAAGGAAATGAGTGTTACTAGTTCATGTGTGTCATAAAGACATCAAGAGACAAATGGAAATAATGGGAAAATACAAGTAAGATTGAGTGCTTATGCAGATAAGGCACTTAGGCACACTGCTTCCCTCTGTTGTAGACATTTAGCAATAGAGAGACACCGCAGACAAAGCCAGATTTTCATTGACTGCTATCAGGATCCCACCCACCAGAGATTCTGACTCAATTAATCTGCGGTGCAGCCTGGGCATAGGAAATTTTAAAGGCTCTCCGGGTGATTCAAATGTGCAACCAAGATTGAGAATCTCTGGTGTAAAGGGAGTGGTTCCATTACTTTCCCTTCCGCAAAGTCACTAAAGAAATGAGATCCTGAAAAAGTTTCATAGCTAGGAGAGGCCAAGCCTGTACCATCAATCTTCAAGGACAGCAACAGGAAAGACCAGTAAAGCTTTCGAACCACAGGAAGAAAAGCTACATTCCAATGACATAAAAACCCAGGCAGGCATGCCAGAGCACAGGAGGACTCAGAGAGCAGAGGCTGGACTGGATCACAATCAGCATCCTCTTCCTCGATGCCAGGAGAGATCCCAGCCTGTCTGCAATCCCAGGGGGCTGTGGCTGCACCCCTTCCTGGTGCCAAAGTGAGCCGATTTCATGCCACTGTAAGAGCTTGCCCTCTCCTATTTGCTCCTTAGATATAATAGGGAGATGCTGAGGCAACAACTGTGAGGTTCTGCTTATTTACAAACCTCTCCCCTCATGCCCTCCAATATACATGAACTTAACTAATGCCTCATTCTTCATAGAGAAAACAGAAGCCAGGCCGGGCACAATGGCTCACGCCTGTAATCCCAGCACTTTGGGAGGCCGAGGCGGGTGGATCACAAGGTCGGGAGTTCGATACCAGCCTGGCCAACATAGTGAAACCCCATCTCTACTGAAAATACAAAAATTAACTGGGCATGACAGCGTGCGCCTGTAGTCCCAGCTACTCAGGAGGCTGAGGCGGGAGAATCCGCATCTGTCTCTTATACACATCTAGATGTGTAGTGCCACTGCACTCCAGCCTGGGTAACGGTGCTAGACTCTGTCTAAAAAAAAAAAAAAAAAAAAAAAAAAGCCAAATGATCACAACAGAATATCCTGGTCTTCTCCAATCCACAGTCCTATGTTCATTTGCGTCCATCTTCTTTTTTTAAGGATAATAACAGCAAACTGTTAAATAGCCCTAAGTGCCAGGCACTACTTTATTTCATATTTTGAAACTAATCTTCCCAAACAATCCTTTGTGGTAATTACTATTATTATCCCTATTTTGCAGGTGAGCAAACAGGCTCCAAGGTATTAAATAACTTGCCAAAGGGTACACAGCTAGGAAGTGGCAGAGACAGGATTTGAAGGAAGCCAGACCGTCTCTCCCATCCACTACATGCATTGCACCTGGTAATTGGGTGCGGCCTCTCCCACCTCCTGAGAAAGCTCACTCCACTGCTTCACTCTCTCCTGAATTCTTCTACCAGAGCTGACATATGCTCTTCCCCCCTCTCTCCTTCTCTTCATAGTCAAGTTCTCCCAAGGCGAGTCTGCACATATGCTGTCTCACTCCCCAACTCCCATTCACTTCCTACTCACTCCAGTCTGACTCAGTTGATTCCCCGTGCTCAACTCTACCAGAGCTGCTCTCACTAAAGCTACTAATGACTTTTTAGTTGCATCCATCGACCTGCTGCCACCTTCATCTTACATGATTTCTCGGCGGCCCCTAATGCTGTTGATTACTCTTTCCTCGGGAGATATTTGTCACATGGCTTTCAAAACACCTCATTCTTGTTTTTCTCCCATTTATCTGATAACTTCTTCTGTACAAACCTCCCATGTAGGAATTGTTTGGGGTTCTGTTCTGGGCTGTCTTCTCACTTTACATTTTCTAAGCAACCTAAAGTACTTCCAAAGGTTCACATTACCATTGAAACTTCCAAAATAGGGTTCTTGATACCCTCCTAAGCCTGCTCACGTTCCCGTCTTTCCAATCTCATGATCTCATTCATTGGCTGCACCACCCACCGAGGGTAGAAACCTGAGGGTCACCAGCATCCACCCTGGCCTTCATCTCCCCCCACCTCCAATCAATCAGGCCTAATGCATTGATTCTACCTCCAAAATATGTCTCAAACTTACGCTTTTCTTTTTATCTCTACTGCTACCCCCTAATCCACCTGGATGACTGAATTAGCCACTGAACCATCTCCATACATCCACTCTTGTTCTCCACTCCCATCCTCTCTCCAGCAGGTGGCCAGAGCAAGGTCCTTAAAGTGTGAATCAGGTCATGTCATCACCTGCTCAAAGCCCTGCACTTGGCTTTCATTGCTCTTAGGATAAAACCCAAATGTTTGGCTGGATGCAGTGGCTCAAACCTATAATCCCAGCACTTTGGGAGGCTGAGGTGGGGGGATTGCTTGAGCTCAGAAGCTTGAGACCAGCCTGGGCAATATAGTGAGACCCCGACTCTACAAAAAATTAATAATATAGCTGGGCATGGTGGTGCATGTCTGTAGTCCCAACTAGTTGGGAGGCTGATACGGGAGTATTGCTTGAGCCCAGGAGGTTGAGGCTGCAATGAGCAAAGATCATGCCACTGTGCTCCAGCCTGGGTGACAGAGCAAGACTGTGTCTCAAAAAAGAAACAAAAACAAAAACAAAACATGAACATCTTACTATGGGCAATAAAGCCCCACATAAGCTGGCCTGGCCACCCTTTCTCACCTCCTATTCCTGCAATTGACCACCCTCCCCAACCCTCAGCCACAGTCGCCTCTTCTCCCACTCTTCTCCCTTCTCCATCCACACCTCTTTCCCACCCAACTAGTTGTGGTCTTAACTGAAACACCATTTTCTCAAAGAGAATTTTCCTAACCCCTCTCAATCTAAATTAGATCCTTCTGTCACATGCTCCCAGAGCTTCCTATATTCTCTTTTGTAGAATGCAGTGATGATGAGTTCATGGTTAGCTGTTTAATATGCTTGCCCACTAGACTGAAGGCTCCCTGAGGGCAGAGACCATGGGTATTTGGCTCTCCCTGTATCTTCTGTGTCCAGCACAGATCCTAGCATATAAGAAGCAGTCAAAAAGCATTTGTTTAATGAATGCATGCCCTGTCAGAGGGTGTGGCATCTCTCACAGCGCTGACTTACACTGACTCATAAGTCAGCACTGCTGACTGCCCACACCCCAGAGCTGCCTGGGGCTACCCATGAAGTCAGGTGCTGGCCATCGCCTTGTGGCTGTGCTGTAGTGGTCCACAGCAGGGGTCAAGGGTCATGTGGCCCTGTGCTGGCTGCTTCCAAGTCTTCACTCTCCACTTGCCAGTCCTGTAATACAATGAGTCTTAAGTATGGTCAGTGCCCCTCCCAGTAGTGCACTGGCACTCATAGAAGGTGGGAAATCTGAGTGTTGGGAAGTGTCTACAAAGTTTCCCTTAAAAGGCTTGGATCTAAGCGTGCAACCCATTTTAGCAACTCCAGGTGTTGTTCATCCATCGAGAAGCGCTGTGCTGTAGCTTAGAACCTGAAGATTCTGGAGCTCAAGCAGATGAGAGAGCCCAGGGTGCCAGGGGTTGAAGGACATGCCTAAGTCACACCGATCCAGGACTTCAGTTCAGACCTCCTAACTGCTGCGTGTCCATTTATTAAGATGATTTTAAACAATGTAATGGATAAACGAGCTATGGAAAGACAGCCGATGAGGCAGCTCATTCTGCTTGCAATTAGCAAAGGCTTAATCTTTATCTTGAGATATATTATAGAAGGGAGTTCATCCTCAGGCAGAAGTGAGATGGAAAGGGATTCCAGGAAAAAGAAAATGTGGATGCAAAGGGCTCGCAATGTTATGGGAAATGGAGAAGTTCAGTGCTTGCAAGACGGAAATGAACCTGGAGTAAGAGAAGTTCCTTCAGACAATCTCTCTCCCCTCAGTGCACCATTCTGATGCCATAAATGGATGAAAAATTTCAGTCTACCGGTGACAAAGACATGGTCTAATGGATGGGGAAAAAAAGGCACACCTTTGTTACAGGACCACCAAGTTCAATTGCCCATTGCACAGTAACAGACTCTGAAACAGCAGGAGTTGCAGCAGAAAAAAAAATGTTTAACGATATACAGCACCCAAACAAGGAGATGGGAGGAAACCCTAAACCCACCTCCCAGGGAGGTTCGGGGATGGGCTTCCAAGGGGTCTGGATGGGTGATGGGCTAGTGTGGGGATCGCTGATTGGTCAAGAAGTGAGGGGTGAAATCATGGGACAGGGAGATGAAGAAACGGCATTCCTGTGCTGGGTTGGTTCCTTGGTGAGTGTCTTCAGGCTGGTTAGCACCAGCCATTCTGCTGGAATTCAGGATCTGAAAAACACCTTAAGCAATTCTTAAGTAAAGTAAAAAGGTCCAGTATCAGAGATTCTTTTTTTTTTTTTTTTTTTTTTTTTTGAGACAGAGTCTCAGTCTGTCACCCAGGCTGGAGTGCAAATGGCGTGATCTTGGCTCACTGCAAACTCCGCCTCCCAGGTTCAAGTGATTCTCCTGCCTCAGCATCCTGAGTAGCTGGGATTACAGGCACCTGCCACCATGCCCAGCTAATTTTTGTATTTTTAGTAGAGTCGGGGTTTCACGAGGTTGGCCAGGCTGGTGTCAAACTCCTGACTTCAGGTGAGCTACCTGCCTCAACCTCCCAAACTGCCTGGGATTACAGGTGTGAGCCACCATGCCTGGCCCCCAGAGATTCTATCTAAAGGAACAATGGGGAAGTAAGTGGTAAACATGCTCCTTTTAGCTAACAGCTGCAGGGAAGTGGGTCACAGTGCACCAGCACACCTTGGTCAATGCCTACCTATGATTTTGCCTAAAGCCTGGCTTGTAATTCTCATTAACCCTGTGAGGGCAGTTTCACGTTTATGCCATTCCAGCTGTTCTCTTGTAACTCTCTATGGTCAATTCTTACAGCATCGTGGCCTATAAACAAGTCCCATGGTCACCATATGGAGACATCACAGAGAAATGAAGATGCTTACCTGCAGGAGCTGAAAACACCAGCCATGGCCAGACCCCCAGAAGACAAAAGAAGGGACCGGGGAACTGGTGACCAAAGCAACCCACTGCTTAAGAAACCCACGTTCCAGGCAGAGTTGGCCTCAGTATGACCTGCTTTGGCTCAGGGATCCCTGGTGGATGGGGAAAAGCATTTTCCTGGTGATGGAAAAACGTTCTTAGCTTTAAGATACTCCTGTTAGGCAGAGATTGGGTTCTGTGACAGCAGAACATGAACTTAAGGGTTATAGGCAGGCTGCATACAGCAGTCCCAGGCCCTGTGAGGGGTTTCAGACTCCAGCTACAGCGAGCCTGCCCCTTTTCTTCAAGGGATTGTCTTGAGGGCTCCAAGGTATAGCTAACTAGTCACTAGGATGCTGTGCTGAAAGTCCCATGGGAGAACTCAAAGCGTGCATTATCACAGCCTGAGAGGAATGTGGAAGGAATGTTTTGTAAGAACTATCAACAGTTTTGCATGAACAATGTCTTTTAAATTAAAATAAAACCTTGAAAAAAGCCAGCTTTCTTTCCTGAGTCTTCCTTGGCTACAAACACTCAGGAGGGGGATGGAGCTCAGACCCTTGTCTTCTGGGTAGTTTTGTTATTACTGTTGCTTTTAAGAAGCAAATGTCACAAGGCTTTCTTCAATGGGATATTCAATTGAGTACTTCCAGTCAACAGTGCTTCCCAAAGTGGGTGGTGTGAAGAACGAGGAGATACATTAAGAGCTGTTTTATTTGAGGTACTCATTTTTATAACCTCATTTACTTGGATTTATAAAAGCAGACTCACCTAATAAAATCAACATTCATTGTATGAGTGTGTGAATCATTCTTTCCCAGGTCAGATTCTGTCTATGACTACAGACTTGACGTTCTTATACAGGGTAAGACACAAGGCTAGAGAATACATTCAAATCTCAGGGTATTTGGGCTCACAGAGTTTGTACCTCTAATCCTCTTGCAGGGAATGAACAAAACTCTGTGACACATCTAATAAGGTCCAGGCCCCATGCT